AAGTGAGGTTCTTACCCACGAAAGCTTATGCTCCCAATACTTCTGTTAGTCTTAAAGGTGCCACAGGACCCTCTGTTGCTTTTTACAGATTCAGACTAACACGGCTACCCCTCTGATTCTTGACACAGTTCTTTCTGTCACACACACAGATCTGAAACAGATCTTTCTGTCTCTCTTACACACACACACAGTCACACAACACACAGCTCTGTGTCTGACACACACAGTGTCACACATACACTCACATACATATACAGGTCTCTGTCACACACACAAAAGCACAGTTCTTTCTGTCACACACTTTCTCACACACATGCAGTTCTCTCACACATGCAGTCATACACACAGTTCTCTCTCACACACACAGGTCTCTCTCTCTCTCTCTCTCACATACACACACACACACACACACTTCAGTCTCTTACACATACTGTCCCATATACACAATCACACACACACACACACAGTTCTCTGCCACACACATGCTGTCACACACACACAGCATTCTCTCTGTCTCACATACTACACAATGTCACACACGCACAGTTCTGTCACACTCACACAGTTCTCTCTGTCACAACACTCACACAATCTCTCTCTCACACAGCTCTTTCTGTACTTACCGCTCCAACCATTAGGATATTCCCATCCTGCGAGTCCTCAGAGAGGCAGCTAGTGCTGCTCTGGGACAGAGGGTTAGTCCCAAACCGCTCCATGCTATGGACATGCATGGAGTCAGCTCTTGAGGTGACAGACCACCAAGGAAAAGTGTGTACTCCGGCCGAGGGGCACTTAGCAGCTTGGGACCATCCCGACAGAAGCTGTGCTTCGCTGGCCTGGCCAAGCTCTCCCTCACAGGCTGCCAGTCATCTCCTAAGAGCTCAGTGCATTCGTGACTTTATAAACACAGCTCAGTTTCGATTTATCCTAAACCAGCCCTTTGCTCAGAAAAGTCTGGCTCGGCTGAAAGACACGTGTTTGGAATTTCCTGCTTTGTGGGCAAGCCCAAGAGCTTCCTCCCATCTAGCTGGAGACAGAGCACACTGCGTCCCCTGGCCAGTTCCCTAAGTGCTTTCACTTTTCTGCAGGGAGTTGGTTCCTCATTCCTGCCCAGGATTGCCCCTGTCCCCAGGTCTGTTCAGAGCTTCCTCACCACCCTGCTGGCCTGCAGCCAGTCCCAGATCTCAGGGCCACACTAGGGGAGAAGCGGGGAGGGATCGTATCCTGTGGTAAGGAAGGCAGGGTGAAATCCCAGCACAGACCAGGTGGCTTGGAGTTTTCACATGGGTTTATCCAGTCGAGATAGATGCTAAACTGCACCCTGCTAGAGAGAGAGAGACTGTGTGTGTGTGCGTGCAGGGCCGGCTCCAGGAACCAGCGTAGCAAGCAGGTGCCTGGGGCGGCCAATGAAGAGGAGGGCGGCACGTCCAGTCGTTAGGCGGCAATTCAGCGGCGGGGCCGTCACTCCCTCTGGGAGTGAAGGACCTGCCGCCGAATTGCCGCCGATCGCGATTGCGGCTTTTTTTTTTTTGTTTTGTTTTGTGCTTGGGGCGGCAAAAACGCTAGAGCCGGCCCTGTGTGCGCGTGCAAGAAAACTCCCCCTGCCTTGTCCACACTAGGATTTTCCCACAGGAGAGCATAGGCCTGCTAAAATCCCCACCTTTTTCTCTAAAGAAGACAAGTCCTCAAGCTTTAAATATCCTTCTGGGGCATATCCTCAGATGGAAGGCTCTGCACTGATTTGCACTAAGCCAAAGGCTCATGCGGGATTTGCACCAATGAGGATCTGTCCCATGGCAGACACTTTCCCTTCAAGATATATTGTTACTATTTAGCAGTAAAAAGTGACAGTGAGGTCTAGTTGATTAAACACAGATCTGGGAGGCAGGACGCCTGGGTTCCTTTGCTGGCTCTAGTATATGTGGTGGGGGGAGGGACAGTTTAGCAGTTAGAACAGTGGGCATAGGCAGCGGGTATAATAGGCCAGGGGAAGCTAAGCCTCCCCTGGCGTGGCCGCCGCTGCCCCCACCACCGGACGCCTGGGCTGTGGTGGGCCTGCCTCTGCTCTACAGCAAGTGCTGGGCGAGGGGGCCTTGCAGGGGAGAGGGGTGGAAGCAAGGAGGGATACGGTGAGGGTTGGGGGGTCTTCGCGGGGGGAGGAGAGGAGGGATGTGGAGAGTGTGAGCCAGGGCCGGCTCCAGGCACCAGCTTCTCAAGCAGGTGCTTGGGGCGGCCGTTCCGGACAGGGGCGGCAGTTCCAGGTATTCGGCGGCAATTCGGCGGACGGTCCCTCACTCCGCCTGGGAGTGAAGGACCTCCCGCCGAATTGCCGCCGCAGATCGCGATCGCGTCTTTTTTTAGATCGCGATCGCGGCTTTTTTTTTTTTTTTTTTTTTTTTTTTTTTTTTTTTTTTTTTTTT